GAAGTCGGCCGCCCAACCGACTGAGCCACCCAGGCGCCCCGATAGTTGATGTTTAAAATAACTGCTAGACGGATAGATGATTCGGTGTGTGGATGGGATGTGAAGATGGGGGGTGGCGATGCGAGTAGGTAGGTGGAAGGAATGGGTGGCTCATGAGCAGGCAGGGCGATGGAAATCAGTGACTGAAGCACGTATGTAGCTGGAAGGTATGCATGTATGAGCTAGCCTATGTCATTACTCTGCAGTTGTGGGACCTACGGCAGACGCGGAATAGAATATGTGAATACAAGGGGCATTTCCAGACTGTCACATCCTGTGTCTTTCTACCAAGAGCATTAGCCTTGATGCCTACAATTGCCACCTCATCACATGACTGCAAAGTGAAGATTTGGAACCAAGATACTGGAGGTAAGGAGCCTGCAGTTGGTGTTTCTCAAAGCTTCGTGGCGTCCTAAAAGCTTCCTTGAAACTCTTTCCATTGCTCAGCAAATACAAAGCCACTTGTGTCCTACCACTATCCAGGCCCCGAGTGGTTACGGGAGGACCAGGATTCTGTTCAGCCTCTGGCTAGCAGCCATCACCACATGAGCCCTGGTACCATGTTGTATAGACTTGTTCCTGAGAGATCAACTATATTTGGCTCTTAGTATTCTTTCTATCTGAAGTTCTTCACCAGGTTTTAACATGTGATGCTCAAAATGTCTGGAAAGGAGAACAAGGATTGCCACTTTAAAATTCCTTTCTCAAGGACTAAAATGAGAGTCTCAGCTCTTGGCGGGGGTGTGGTAGAGTAAGATAGTCTCAGAAAGTAAGACAGTCTCAGAAAAACAAGTCTCTGCCTTGTTTTGATGCTGCAGCTAAGGTCTGAGGTCGCAGCAAGGTCATGACACTTCAAAGCACCAGAGAGAAAGATGTTTTAGGGAACACGGTGAAGTGGTGTGTCAGACCCCACTCCTGCTGGCTGATTGCTAAATATTTAGGAACGTTTAATACGGTCATAGCGGGAGTATTTACACCCCAAAAATTGGCAAATGCTGTGAGTGATGGTGGTGGGTTCTTTCCTTCCAGAAAGCTGCCTTCCTAGTACTCCACTGCCTCCGTGCTATTTTTTTTTTTTTTTTGAAGTTCACTTATTTTTCAGAGAGGGAGAGAGAGCACACGCGAGTGAGTGCGCACAAGTTGGGGAGGGGCAGAGAGAGAGAGAGGGAGAGAGAGAGAATCCCGAGCAGGCTCCACGCTGTCAGCCCAGAGCCTGACGCGGGGCTCCATCTCCAGAACAGTAAGATCATGACCTGAGCCAAAATCAAGAGCCGGACATTCGCCTGACAGAGCCACCCAGGTGCCCCCATACTCTCTTGTCCTGGACACAGGGTTCCGTCGGACACAGGGAACGGTATTAATCTAGCAAACCTCACGACAAATCCCTCTTATGGTAATCTTCCAGAAACTTAGCTCCTGGGAGGGGAGGACAGGGAGCCCCCTTGGAGAAAAGACGTAAGATCATGTCTAGTGGTCACATGGGCCAAACTCCCAAAGGGAGGACAGCCCAGCTGTGCCCCACCCGGAGCTGCCCAGTGCAGCTGTTTTGGGATTCAGTGTCCAGGGAGAACAAGGTCTGAAAGTGCTGCCCTGCCCACCAGGTGTGCCCCTACGGCCTCCAAGATGGAGACTGTGTCAGCTGGAGGCCCTCAGACTGCCCTTCGGGTCCCAGTTTCCTTTGTCCTGAAGGGAGCAAGGCCCCAGAGGCCAGCAGCTGGAGATCAGTGTCCTTATCTGTTCTCCTCTGCCCTGGCCCCTGCCTTGCTCTCTGGGCAGGTGGTAATTGAGGGCAATGTGTTAACATGTCCTTGCAGGTGAGGCCCCAACTGTCTGAACGTGCTTCCGAGTGATACACATCTTGTTTGGTCCATGTGCCGTTCTGTGTAGTTGAAGCCGTGCGGTTGACCCCGGGTTGACTTCCCCGCTGGTGCGCGGGGGCTGCTCTTACAGGGTTCCATGCAGGTAGCGCGCGCTTTACTTACCCGCGTTTTTTCTCAGAGACCTCGCGGCGTTCCATGACGCCGCGCTCTTGGCCTAAGCTGCTGGTTCCCTCTTCCTCCCCCAGCCTGCCTGTTCACCTTGTCCCTGGACGGATCAGGACCTTTGACTTCCCTGGCTGTTGGCGACACCGTCTCCTTGCTGTGTGCGAGTTTCAGCCGAGGAATTCACCTGCTCAGAGTGGACTGCAGCCAAGGGCTGGCACTGCGGGAGGTGGCAGCATTCTGAGGCCAAGAGACACTCACTTTCAAACCGTGGCCTGTCCTTTCTCAGTGTGGCGGCTTTGTTCTTCCCTGTGATCTTGCGGGGGGCGGGGGTGGGCGGTGATGTGGGACCAGGGTTCTCTGCTTAGTTCCACTCAGAAGGCATATCAGGGTTAGAAGCCAGTTTAAGTCCAGGTGCAGTTTAGAAACATGAACTAAACATAAAGTTCTCCATCGAGGTGAAATCCAAACACAGTTTTCAGTGACCTTTAGGAACCGCTCTTCAAAAACCAAGTTTATGGCTCCAAATGGTGCCCTGCATGTGTAAGAGTGATAGGCCTCTGTGAGTCAGAACACAGGGTTGAGTCTGTCTAACTGGCCTGTTCCGTGTCTCCACGAGAGAAGAAGATGCAGGGGGGAGGCACACCGTTCTGGCAGCCTCACGGTGATCCAGATGGGGAAGGACAGCGCAGCTCCATAGCGGAAATGGATTGTAGACATGAGATTAAGCTCCAGTCACTGCTCCTCAGCAAGGTGAAGAACCAAAGTTAGGTCAAGAAAGAAGTCTTGGCTTCTACTCGGAGGAGCCGCAGAGTGGAAGGAGGCATGTCCTAGACCGGTGCTGAGGTGGCATGAAAATTAGACCCCAGGTGGCTTGGAAAGGCCAACAGCCCAAGGGCCTTGCCCAGAATCCTAATTGTCAAACCTGTGCATAAGAAAATGGGGAGGTTCTGGGCGCCCGAGTGGCTCAGGTTATGATCTCACAGTTCGGGGGTTCGAGCCCTGAATCGGGCGGGCTCTGTGCTGACAGCTCAGAGCCTGGAGCCTACCTTGGATGTGTTACCCTCTCTGCCCCTTCCCCACTCGTGCTCTCTCTCTCTCTCTCTCTCAAAAATAAACATTAAAAAAAAGAAAGAAAGAAAATGGAGAGGTTCCAAGATTAAGGCTACAACAAATTTCATTTGTACATTTTAATATTTTTAGTTAGTTTTGTATAAACTCTTGGGGATGGCCAGCGTGAGCCAAACGGGAGTTTACAACAACAACAGAACATAGAGAAAACAGAGGGATGGACTCAACCGTGTGCTAGCTAGTGAGTCCTCCCGGGTGAGGAGGGGCACAGTGCTCAGGTCAGCCTGTGTGGCCCCCAAGACATCAGTCCCCAGCCTGGTGCTCACCAGCCCATTTCCTTCACGGATGATAGAGTCCCTCCTGCCATCAGGCGAGTCCACACATAAGGCAACAGAGGCCTGGGGATTCCCTTTCTGATGAGTCCCAACCAAAGAAAGCCTTTGTACTTGTCTTCCCTGGCCCCTGCCTGTCCCTGATACCAAGAGATGACAGCCATCTTCCTCGTCTCCCTCCTGTTCCTCTTTGGGGCCAGCTTCCCCATGGGACGATCTTAAGCTAGTGCAGTGTCAGTCCTGAGTTTGACTCTCCACTTCTCCATTTAGCTGGGTGCACTTGGGTGTATAAAATAGCAGTTTCCTCACCAATAATGTGGAGCGAATAATCCCACGTTCCTGACAGTGCTGTTCTGAGGACTGAACAAAACTGTATTAAATGCCAAGCAAGGTAGCGGGCGCTTATAAAGGATAACCATAGTTAATTATTGCTCTCTGTCTGGACTGAACACTCTCCTCTCCTCACAAAACATTTACCATTCCTTCGCCCATTCTCCTTAGATCTTATTTCTAAACCTTTAGTCCTTTTGTGGCTTCCCTTTGACTCCTTAAGTTACGGATCTTTGAGGTCTGGAAGGACAAAGGGATAGCGGGAGAGGAAGCTATTTCACTGAGCACCCACAGCCGTCTGGATACGTTTATTCTCGCCACAAATCGTGTTATTCCCGTGTTGCAGATGAGGAAGCTGAGGCCCGGGAACATTCAGTTCTTTGCCCGAGGTGACACACGGAGAGAGGAAAGAGAAGAACGGAGATCTGAGCCAGGGTCTGCCCAACTCAAAGCCAGAATACTTTCCTTCCCACTCCTTTGTCATTGCGTGATGTCACAAAGTTCATTTTAGAAATTCGTAGACTCTGACACTGTGTGTGTATTTTCTAGACCAGTTACTAACTTTTTTGGCTCCGAGGAGACCCTCCTGGTCAGGTGCCCAGAAACCGTACACAGGTGTCTCGGGGACGGTCCTAGCGCATCCTGAACTTCTAGTGCTACAGCTAACCCTTTCTTCGGGGAAGAAGATGGGCGGTAAGTCAGGAAGTCTAAGGGAGTGGGTTGGGAGGGGGTCCCGGGGAAGAGGACCAGAGGGGATGTCCATGTGAGGAAATCGTAGGCCTCTGATGAATTAGCGGGGTTCTCTTAGCAAAAAAAATTGTTTCCCTGAGCTCTACGCATTTGCTCAACTTAAAAAATTCTTATCTGTGCATTTTAAGTGGAAAGCAGATTAATAAACGCAAATGTTTGTGTAGGAGTTTTTAGTCTCACATGCCCCACTCAGGTACTCTCAGCTGATGCACACTACGACAATGCATTCATTTGTTCTTTGGACATTCACTGAGCACTTCATTTTAGAGGCTGCTCCTGTAAAATCATGCAAAGAAATTTTCCAAAGACAGTTGACCTTTTTTTCCAGAAAAGCAGATAATCCCTTGGAGTCTGACCAATTATATATTTAAAATGTAAAGAAATTTATATATTTGCTTATATAAGTTAAATATATTTATTTCCGAGGGGCGCCTGGCTGTCTCAGTCGGTAGAACGTGTGAACCTTGACCTGAAGGTTGTGAGTTTGAGCCCCATATTTGATATAGAGATTATTTACAAATAAAATATCTTTGGGGAGCCTGGACGGCTCAGTTGATTGAGTGTCCGATTTCAGCTCAGGTCATGATCTCACGGTTCATGAGTTCGAGCCCCACATTGGGCTCACTGCTCTCAGCACAGAGCCTGCTTCTGATCCTCTACCTGCCTCTCTCACTACCCCTCCCCCGCTTGCACTCTCTAAAAAATAAGTTAAAAAAAAAATTAAAAAAATTAAAAAAAAAATCTTTAGAGGCACCTGGGTGGCTCAGCTGGTTCAGCATCTGACTCCTGGTTTTGCCTCAAGTAATGATCTCATGGTTCATGAATCAGAGCCCCTCGTCAGGCTCCGCACTGACAAAGCTTGGGATTCTCTCTCTCCCGCTCTCTAAACAACAAACAAACAAACTTTAACTAAAAAATCTTTGAAAATATACTTATTTCAGGAAAAATGAGTCATGATTATTAAAAGATTTTTTTTTTTGGTGGCTGAAATTATCTTACAAGATGATCTTTATTTTTACTGAAAGTTTAATTTTTTTTAATGTTTATTTATTTTTGAGAGAGACAGAGCATGAGCATGAAAGGGGGAGAGAAACGGGGAGACACAGAATCTAAAGCAGGCTCCAGGCTCTGAGCTGTCAACACAGAACCCAACACGGGGCTCAAACCCACGAACCGTGAGATCAGGACCTGAGCCGAAGCTGGACACTTCACCGACTGAGCCACCCAGGCGCCCCTATTTTTACCGAAAGTTTTAAAATGATCTGGAAAAGATACAATTTGAGTGCATCTAGGATGTATATAATTTATGTCCCAATTTGTATTCAAAGTATTATTTTTAAAAAAATAGCTACCAGCTGGGGCGCCTGGCTGGCTCAATTGGAAGAGCCTGTGACTCTTGATCTCAGGGTCATGAGTTTGAGCCCCATGTGGGGTATAGAGATTACTTAAATAAATAAAAATTTAAAAATGAAATAGAGGCACCTAGACGGCTCAGTTGACTAAGCATCCGACTCTTGATTTGGGCCCAGGTCATGATCTCTCAGTTTGTGAGACTGAGTCCCACAACGGGCTCTGCACTGATAGCTTGGAGCCTGTTTGGGATTTTCTCTCTCTCCCTCTCCCTCTCTGCACCCCCCCTCTCAAAATAAACATTAAAAAATAAAATAGCTACCAGCTATTAAAGTATTATGATACACTAGATATCATCGGTATTACAAAAGTATCAAGTCCCCAATATCACTATCTTCTTGAACAATGATTATTGAAGAAAATTCCCCAGGAGTTCTGAGTTTTACCGTCATTGAAGAAATACTTCCTGGCAGAAATGTAATGTTTTCAACACTGGTATCGAGAGACATGTTTTCAGTCTGAAACAGCCTTGATTTTGACATAGGAATTACAAGTATAGAACTCAGGTCACTTGGTGAAAAAGGAGCTTCACTATTTCTGGATAGCCTTTTGAAAATAGAATGAGTAAAGAAAAGCTTCATCCTGAAAAATGCAGCAGTCCGCTAATGTTTCCTGGAGTGGGCACCTCTTGGCACAGGCTACCCTCCGAAGCCTACATCCCCCGCTAGCACGGCCGTGAGAACAAGTTCTTGTCGGTGGATTGTGAGTGGAAGTGATGTGTGTAACTTCTACCTTATTAGCTCCAAAAGAACGTGTTTGTCTGGGGTTACCACTCAGGGTCCCTTCCCACTCCCTGCAATGCAGACCGCCAGGGACAGCTTCAGGTATTCAGATGAGGACAAGATGACAGAACAGCAGGAGAGAAGGAGCCCCGAATAACCCTGAAATGCTGAGCTGTTCCACCAGCCTGACCGGCTAGACTGTGACATGAAAGAGAATAAAACTTCATTCTTTTTAAGCCGCTATATATATTTTTAACTTAAAGAAATATTTATTTATTTTGAGCTATAGAGAGTGGGGGAGGGGCAGAGAGAGAGACAGAGAGAGAGAGAGAGAGAGAGAGAGAGGATCCCAAGCAGGCCCCTCACTGTCAGTGAAGAGCCCCACACGGGTCTCAATCTCATGAACTGCGAGATCGTGACCTGAGCCGAAATCAAGAGTGGGTCGCTTAACCAACTGAGCCACCCAGTTGCCCCTCCAAGCCACTATATATATATTTTTTTATCTTTTAACTCAAGCATAGCAATCATAAATAATTTCAGATGCCTTACGTTCATAGCTTGCTGATTCTCCATAAGCCAAACACACTCTAGTAACCAGTACTTCCGTGAAGAATTATAATACATCCCGG